TATATATATATATGTAAATTAAAACGTCCTTCCGAAGCGGGCGACGGGATTTCGATTCCGGCGACCGACAACTTCTTACGGGCGATCTCCACAAAACAAATTTTTAGCTGCCGACACTTCAAACATTGTGAGTTTGCTTCTATGCATTCATATATTTATGATATGATTATGTATTCTACATTTAGGAGCAACTTCTAAATTGAAAAGTGTTAGAAGGAGATATTAAAATAAAGAAGTGGTTGTAAAACATGCAGCGTATATATATTGTTAGCATGATTGTTTTTTGGGATAATTGCATACAAAGCCCTCGAAACATTGTTATTTACAAAATTTGCATCCAAATGATTATATCATTGAGAATTTGATAATTTGATAAAAATGAAAAATATTTTGGTTGGGATTTTATCATGAATTTTGATATTTGAGTGAGAATTTGAAAAATTGATCAGAGAGGGTGCTTTATTTTTAAATATCAATGTTTTGGGTGCTATGTATGTAATTGTCCATTGTTATTTTTTGTATGTACTGTTGTTTATCTATGATCCATCTCTTTATTTACCAGCAAATTTTTAAATTTCATTATTTTGTGTTCAGGTGATATCGTGTTCACTGACAGCCATAGCAACTCTGATTGATGTACTACTGAAAAAAGAAATAGAAACCAGCTCTGAAAATATTACCACTGAACAGAAGCTTGCTTCCAGAGCTCGGATAACCGTTACATCTGCCGCGGAAAAGTTATTCTCCGTGCATAATTTTTTTCTAGATTTTTTCAAGCATAAAAACCCTGCTGTTCGTTCAGCAACATATTCCGTTCTAACAATCTATATTAAAAAAATTCCTCATGCTTATAATGAAGTAAACATGAAATCTTTATCAGCTGCTATACTGGGCGCTTTCCAAGAGAAAGATATTTCATGTCATTCTTCCATGTGGGATATGATTTTGCTTTTCTCCAGAAGATTTCCAGATGTTTGGCTTTCCAAAAGTACACGTAACACCGCCTTAAATGAACTTTGGAAGTTTCTAAGGAATGGATGTTACGGATCAAAAAAAGTTTCGTACCCAGCTTTGGTGATTTTATTAGAATCCGTCCCTCCTAAGGCTGTTAACGGCGAGCAATTTCTTCTCCTATTTTTCCAAAGCTTCTGGGCTGGAAGAAATCCATCACACTCGGCTGCTGATAATTCTTCTTTCTTCAAGGCATTTCAAGAATGCTTTTTATGGGTCTTAGATAATGTCTCAAGGTGTGAATTTGTGAAAACATGAAGGGAAATTTACATATTTAAGACACAGTTCTTATGTATTTACTTATCTCACACCTCAACTTTCATATTTACATACATAGCACATTGGTGCTTAAATACTATGCTTGAAAATGTGTCTTTGACTTTTAAAAAGTGATAATAGTGCTATTTTTTATGTGAAATTGAAGATTTGAGTGCCATGTATGTAAATAAATGTTTAGCTTTGAGATATGGAATTCTACGCTATATATGTAGATGCCCCACGCATGAAAAGTTGACTTCTAAGAAAAGTCAACTATCTGCTCCGCCGACAGATATTTTTTATTTTTGCTCTGTTGATATCCATGGCTTTATGCAGGTTTTCCAAAAGTGAAGCTGACAGAAGTCCTCTCTCCATAAAACTTGTCAATACTATTCTTGTAATGCGTTTATGGTATGATTATCTTCCAGTCAATTCAAAAATTGATGGGGAAAGTTCCCTGAAAATGACTACTGGGGTTGAAGATGATCCATTATCAAATGAAAAGTTAGCTGAAGCGCAAAACTATTCTTCGAGTTATATTCAAGAATTAGGCAGATGTATTATCAATATATTGACACATATTTCGTTCAAAGAACCAAGTTTGCTCCATGATTTTTATGCAACATTTTTTAAGGATTGTTTGGCTGTTTTACAACAAAGAATCTTTTCCAAAATAATTCAGGAATATATGGAAAGGATTATTGACTTCATTTTTCTTCTTGGACAACTCCCATTGCAGAAGGGTCAAACGTGGCCCTGGGAATTTCTGATCGGACCGCTGATCGCAAGCTCTTTCACAACAATTAAAACTCTTGTAAGTTTTGCCCATTGACAAAGCTTGAGCAAAGTATCAAAATTATCCCTTGACTTTTAAATGGGCCATTTTAATCTCAGAGTTTATCAAATTGTTATATTAGTCAACAAATTCCTTTAATGAGGCCTAAAATAGTTATCACCGGGTACTATTTAAACCCATATTGAAAGAGTCTAGAGATTACATTGATATTTTAATAAACTCTGAGCTAAATTTGCTAGCTATAAATAGTCAGAGGACCATTTTGACAATTTTCTCGAGAAAGTTTTATTGTTTCCTTGTTACCTATCTACATGAAAATTAAACTATTTTTCTTCGAATTTCTGGTGATTATGGCTGTTGAAATGCTAACTAATATGCTTTCGTCATCGTCATTCGTCATTGGGTTGACTTTATGAATTTTCTTTTTGTTGATGTTGGGCGTAGCTAAGGTGTTAAACTCATTATTCTAATGATTTTGAACTAACTTGTATCTTTCTAATTGGTGTATTTTGTATTGTTTTTTTACATGTCTAAACCGTCCAAATCTATTTTCAATTTTCTTGTATTCATTATGTCAGTCAAATTTTACTTCTAATATATTATACTTTAATTTAACTTTCCTTATTTCTTTGACCTGGTCATATTCACTTTCTCATTTCCTATGCTATCAACTTAGTTATGTTGACCTTCGAGCATGCTCCACAAGTTGATTCAATTAAAGACAACATTGACGATGAATGACAAATGTGACATTATGTAAAAGTAGTTTGACACCCTCCGACTAGTAAACAAAATTAGGGAGCACCAATGCATTGGAGGCATCAAAGTTATCTGGAAAAGACTCAAATCATTAAAATTATGCCACTAGGAATAAACAAAAAATTTGCAGTTGTAATAGCAAGCGTCGTGGACTCACCCTGGCACCAATCAACAATTGTCATTTTCTATTTTCCCTCCTGCCAACTTGACTTACACACGTCCTGCATTATTAACCCTAGTTTCTGAGCAATCTCATTCATGTTTTTCCTTCCCTCAACAAGACTCGTCTCCTCACCAAAGCTTGCTGTCTCTCTTCTCTATACAGCTCCAGTATTCTTTGTAGCTACCAACTATCCCATGCAAAACCTTCGATGTCTAACCAAGCTTTGCCTTCAGCCTGGAGAACTATGTAATCTTATCGCCACTTTTAATCCACATTGTTGTCTCCTATAAAAGCTGTCAAGCTCAACCAATCTTGCTAAACTCCAACAAAAATGTTCCCATTGAATTGTGACTTTGCCAACTTTCGAGTTTTCACTTTTTTACCTATATTAAGCTTATATTTATATATATATAATATATATATATATATATATATATATATATATATATATATATAATCGTGGAACTTCAAAAAAGAAAATTTTAAAAAGGTTGTGTGTATATTTGATTGTTGTCCCACGTCAAAGTTTGTCCCCTTGCTGTCAATATGGTCTCGCCTCAGCATTGTCTGTAACAACATTAACTACAACAGCCTCATCTGCTACAGCATTTCGACATCGACTGCAACGATAGTCAACAGTCTCATGTGAGGGTATAAGGTCATGATCTTTGTGTAAGCACCCAATTGTTTATACACATTTATTTAAGCGTGATAAGTTTAAATATACCCAGCCACGCTGTTGCACGATATCAACTGTGCACCCTTTTTAAATGTGGTGGATGGGTCTAATGTTCTCCCCAAAAGTCTGCTATGTGGCAAAGACGGTAGAATGCTGCTGAAATGAATATTGAACAAACTAAAAAGTGGCATAATGCGACTAAAATGAAATGAAACAAAAGTGAGAGTGAAAAGCTCACTAAAATTGCAAAATCACAAAATGGAGACCAAAATAACACTTCCAATTTCGTGCATGTTGCATTAAAAGAATTAAATGGAACAAGATTTGAACATGAACAAAACTTACATGGAATTTGGCAGCTTGCTTGCTTGCTAGCATGGATAGAACCTCCCCACCACACCTCCAAAATCCTCCTATGCATTCCCAATCAAAATGGAACTCAAATAGGTGTGGAAACAAACTAGAGGGGCTTTCTTTTTTATAGCCAAAAACAAACATTCTATGAAGTTCATTCAAGTAATATACATATGTGAGAGCAAAACACACTTATTTGTAAAGGATGTAATGAAGATGATAATTCACAACATTTGCAATCATATTCACAACCAAAAACATGCAAGTGTGCAGAATGCCAAATATTAAAAGCTCAAAATGAGACACTATATATTTTAACGACAAAATTTTTTGGTGTAAATTATAGAGTTTTGATAATGTTAATTCTTCTATGTACATCATCAGTAAAACTTCAACTCAAAAATACTCCACGGATAATCCTACCAGTGTTTTGGGTAGCGCACCTGCCCTTGAGAAACATATCAACCATCCAATACATGTTCTTTCAAATATATTGATAAATGCATTTTGAAAGTGCATTAACTCCAGAAAGCAAGCTTTCTGATATTCTCAGCTAAACTTCAAAAATTTAAAATCTAACAAATTCACATGTGTCTTTCAAGAAACTCATAATTTTAAGCTTTTATCTTGAGAAACTTGCAATTGCCTAGATGAACATGTTGAATTCCCTAAGAGCACATCAACTACTAAAAGTATTCTGGTATATTTTGATAGATGCTATGGCTTCTTGATACAAAATGAAAATGGTTCTAAGAGTTCTTATACCTCATTAAGATGATTTACATTTGATTTATCCTATCTTGATAAACATGCACTATTATTTTAAATAACTTGTACAGCATCCTTCAAAATCAAATGTATCTGCATGTGATTTGATAAATGTATTAAATTCAAAGTCAAAGAATGTTATATTGATTAAATGTAAGTTGAATCCAAATTTGTTCTGCCTTGAGAAGCTTGCAATAATTTGAATTTTACCAGTTTTTTTTAAAATTTAAACTCATCGACCTTGACACATGCTCCAAGTCAGCAGTCTTATCTTAATGATGCAGTTGTAATTCCCACTTTTTTTGAAGTCCGATCATCTATGTCCCCAAAAATGTAGTTTATAAGGCTTTTGTCCATTGATGGATTATCACAACAACAATTAAAATATTTTTTTTTTAATATTTATCTTCTACCAAATTAAGCAAGTTGACAACTAACATTTGGTCGTAAATCTTGTAAAAGATATTTCATTTTTTGTTTGCATACGGTTTGGAATGCCTCGAACAAAAAGAAAAAGTTGTGTTTTTTTTTTTGACAGAGAAAGAAACTCTAGATATCGACAAGCTCATAAATCACATTCACAAGTTCAACTCTTAGATTGGCTTGATCCTCAAATGGGGGTAGAGTTGATAAGGTTTGTCAGACTATAAATTTTTGAATGAACTCAAATCATTTTCAAACTAAGAACTCAATCCTTTACATGCAAATAGGCTGAGTTGATGCAGTTCAAAGTAATTAAACTCAAACATCCTACTTTGATAATGGCCTTATTTGATATGTAAATTCATTAGACTTATGTGGTATGTATGTAAATTTCCCTACTTAAAATCTGTTATGTTGCCTAAATGATCTTCAGACATGTTGCATGCTTTAATATGCATGAACTTCTCTACATTTATAAACTAGTCTTGTCTCTTTTCGAGCCCATGCCTAAGGCTTATTAAAAATGATGTATCTATATCACCATTAGATGACTGCATGGAAGTCTACCAAGCGACTTTATTAACCATATATGATTCGCTTTTCATCTAAATCATGAAATTTCATTGTTAAATTTAACTGTTGAAAATGACCTTAACTGAAGGTCCTAATAACATGGTGCGCGCGCGTGTGTATATATATATATATATATAATTTTAATTTTTATTCAAGCCAATGATTATTTAAGTCATTCTGACTTCACAATTCATTCTTAGTTCAATAGAAAACAAAAGAATTGAATTAGAGTTGATCCATAATTTTTTAAATTATTTTTATAAATAAGAGTTTCAGGTAATGAATATTTATGGAAAACATTATCTTTAATTGTAAAAATATACTGTATTTATTAAAAAAAAATGCAGATTGTAATTATTTTTTATTTGAGTGAGATTTTGTCCACTGCATGTGTTGTTGCATGAAGCTAGTTCTTGAAAAGTCAAAATTTTTTAATGAAAAAAATTCCAGATTGTCTTAATTTGAGAACAAATTTGAGCCAATGTTCTGCACTCACATGTACTGAGCTTAATTAATTTAAGATGTATTATATCTTTTTTTTTTCTTTTGTTTTTGTTTATTTGTAGTTGAAAATTACACTCTATAAAAGTTTTGTTGCAAAATGTGCAGCATACTTGTGACGCTGGAGCTTACCACCCATTGTAATATAGTAGACCGCAGACGCGGTACTCTAGCTACTATAGTAACAGCGGTCCCCTTTTCCTATTTAATTTCTTTCATTTCCTTTTATGATGCTTTCCCATTATGATTCATTTCCTTCTCCTCTTCTTCATATTCCTCTCCTTGCCTATTATATCTCTTTCCTATCCTACTATTTACCTATTTTATCTACTAATCCCCTCTTTATATAGGTGTTGTTTTCTGAGATTTGAGTTGATTTCAGCTCCTGCCTCTGAAGCGTTCTTCCTCTCCGGTGGTTGTATCCGATGGTGAGAATGTGCTTCAGCTGTAACTCGTCTGAGGTGGTTACCGTCTCCAAGAGTCCGGGTGTTGCTTCAGCTGTAGCTCGATCCTATGAGACATATATTTTTCTACAACCCCCTCTCCCACGCAGTCCAACAATTGTTAGCTCGTTTCCCTTCTTCCGGCTCACCTTCAGCAGGTCGCCGACCCTTCTCCACACCTTCCCACAGACTGCCAGCTTTTTGTTCCTCTCTGGCTGACCTCCAGCATCCCGCCAGTCAACCCCTATGCCTTCCAGCAGTCTTCTACTTGTTGTTCCCCCTTCCCTACTATCAAACCTGTTGTCCCTTCCCCTGTTTCCCAACCACCGACCCTAGTTCCCTCTCCCTACTGCCGCCAACATACCCACCTGCTACCGTCACTCTTATTGGAGTCTGTGTTGTGTCTTTATGCTTGTGTTATTCTTTGTTGTTGTGATTTCACGTCGCAAGAGTCTCGTTTGTACCCTTTTGAATTCAGTAATAATAATTGTATTTTTTTCGTAGTGAATTGAGTCTTTTTCTCTTGGATGAACTGGATGAAAAAATTCAATTTATTTAAGTTATGGTAGCCCTGGATTTAATTTCCCATACTACTTTTATGTTTTTGTATAATTTTTTTTTTTATTTGCACTTTATTTTTTATTTTAAAACTTGAATTCATTCCTGTGACTATATGTTATTTGTGTGAGCCACAGGATTCTATCGATGCTGTTGAGCTTTTGTCCGTATTGATCAGAACGTTTGGGCCGGTGACAGTGTTATCACATATTCATGTATGTAACACAGAGCGCTGCAACCATAGCTCAACCATTAAAGGTGATGATAATGATTTCAGAGGAGAGAAATTCTTACAAACATTCAGGGATGATTTTGTCCCTTGGTGTCTACAGAATCACACTAGCTCTAGTTCTGCAAAACTCGACCTTCTTCTTTCTTTAATTCTAGATGAATATCTATCCGATCAATGGTCTGCAATCATTGAACATTTTGCTAAACTCTGCAAACTCTGTGTATCCGATTCTGATACTCTACATCACCATGATAAACTTCAATCATTTTCAGTGCTTTTCGAGAAACTGAGGGCGAAAGTCCGTTTAATGATAACTGAGAATGTGCGAACGGCTGGAGTTTTACCCGAGCATTGGCATCACGAGTTGTTGGATTCATCTGCAATTTCTATTGTTTATGAAGCAACTCTCTTTTCTTCATCTCACGCTCAACTTTTACGGTAATACATTGTTTGCTTTTTATAGATTTTTTTTCTTGGCTAGTTTTATTTGTAATGACAGCATAGTAATAAGCTTTATGATTCTCTTCACTGCATAAAAATTTTTTGGAAGATTTACATGCATACCACTCATTTGTTATGTATGTACATATCTAACACCTAAAGATCGATTTTGACGTATATGCCACCTTACCTATGAATGAAAAAATATATTTCACTCTTTTAAAGTTATAATAGTGGTATTTACATGTCTGACACATAAACATCAATTTTTATATATACGCCACCTTATGAATGAAAACATGTATTTCACTCTTTAAAAGTTAAAATAATGGTATTTTTGGTGTGATATGAATTATTTTGATGGTATGAATGTTAAAAAGCAAAGTTTAGATGTTAGATATGTAAATACATATGAATTGGGTGGCATGTATGTAAATGTCCATCATTTTGTGGTTAGTTTTGTGAGATTTATTTTGGTAGTTGAAAATTGTAGATTCTCTTAAAATTATTCAGTTTGTTGACTTCCTTTTCAGAGCTGACACAATGGACTATAACAACTTAATATTATTTGCATTAGTAGCCGTAAAACTGATCATAAATGTAATAATTGAAGATCAAAAGGTTGCCTTTAATCACGAAGTGGAAAGTAATATGCATTTCATTTCACTAAATCTTGCATCTAACCACTAATATATATTTTATACAAAAACTATAGAAGAACAACTCAGGCACGCGAATAGCAGTCTATATATGTCATAGTCAATTAATTAAGATATCAAACAAGCTAATGGACATAAAAAGAAGTTATATTTACGATGAGTGAACCAATTGAATACTCTATTTCTAATTGTAAAGTAGGATATATGATATATGTAACCTGAAATTACTTTGTGAAGATTCAGTTTTTTTTTTTACGGAGACACATTTTACTTAATTTTAAATGTCCCAAGTCTCTAGATTATCCCGAAGTGTTTCAAAAAATTGCGTTGACCTGCAATGACTTTCGGATGCCCGCAAACTTTTGTGAAGACCGATTACACATTTTATTTTATCAATTTATTTTATGAATTTTGTTGGAATTCAGAATAATGCGGAATAAAACGGAACTAAACAGGACATTTTTTTCATTGATATGATAACCCTTTACATGAATCCTCAATAAGAATGATAGTAAAAATAAAATAATATGAAATGAAAGATATATCACCTAAAATCTTCAATAATCAATTCATATTAATTATTTGAATATAAAGAAAATAACATAAAATAGGAAAGCCTAAAATAGGAAAGGAAATAACTCATAATCCATGAAAATAAATATAAAATATGAAAAAAATAACTCATAATCTCAGGAAATAATTTATTCCTTATGAGGAATATTCCTTATGAGGAATAAATTATTTTCTAATATAATTCTAACACTCTCCCTCGAGTTAAAACATGGTTGAAAACCATGTTCAAATTGGATTTAAAACATCAAACAATGACAAGGGAGATCTCGTGAAATAGAACTTGAAGTCTTCATCCCGTACTGTGGTTGTCTTTGATTGCAGTTTCTGCAATATCTCTAGGTAAGCGAAAGACTCCTACAGGTAATGCTGAATGGGAGTTTGCAAAGAAGTAGACAACTGCGGTTGTTTTTAACTGTAGTTCCTGCAGTGTCTATTGGTAAGTGGAAGACTTCTACTTGTATTGTTACAGGGGAGTTTGCAGGGAAGTAGACAACTATAGTTGTCTTTGACTACAGTTTCTGCAGTATCTGTAGATAGGTGGAAGGCTCCTATAGGTGATGTTGTTGGGTAGTTTGCAGGAAAGTAGACAACCTGCAAGAAAAACTAACTTCTAGTTGACTGTGATTATCTTTGACTGCAGTTCTTACAGTGTATGCAATCTGTAGGTAGGCATACATGTAATGTGACAGGGGAGTTTGCAGGGAAATAGACAACCTGTAGGAAAAAATGACTTATTGTTGACTGCGATTGTCTTTCATTGAATTTCCCGCAGTGTTTGTAGATAGGCGATGACTTGTACAGGTAATGCTGCATGGGAGTTTGCATGAAAGTAAGCAACCTGTAGAAAAAGCTTCAGAATATGACCTGCAAAAAAATGAAAAAGCTCTGAAGGTAGGCTTGCTTCATGAAAAAATTTCAGATGATGGCCTGATACAGAAGAAAAGCTCTGAAGGAGGACCTGCTGCAGAAAAAACTCAGGAGGAGGACCTTTTACGGGAAAATGCTTTGAGGAAAGCTTGTTGCTGGAAAAGCTCCGGAGAAGAGTCTGCTATAGGTTCCGGAGGAAAGCCTGCTGCAGGAAAAAGTTCTGGAGGAGGCCTGATGTAGTAAAAAGTTCCAGAGGAGGGCATGATGCAGGAAGATTCCGGCACTGTAGAGATGTTCTTGCTACGATCCTTTTGAAGTTCGGAAACAGGTAGGTAACTGCAAGCATAAAGATACATCTCCACTGTTGTCCTTACTGCAGAAATTCTGGTAACTACAGACGAGCATACAATTACACCCTGCAGGGAGAGAATTTTGAGTCCAAAGAGCTGGAAAAGTAACCTTGGGATATTTCCTTGGAGGTTATTATTACTGAGACTAACATTATTCAATAAAGAAGTTTCTGAAAACCTAGGAAGTTGGCCGGAGAGCTGGTTCTGCCAAAGCAGCAATGTCTGCAACTGAGGCAGATTAAATAGAGTTTCAGGATTGGTCCTTCCTGAAATTTGATTTTGTGGGAGTAATATATCGAGTAAGGATGAAGATGGCTGAAATGCAAGGGACCATTGAGATTATTGGAGGAGAGGTCCAAATTCATTAGCCTGAGTCAGTTCCAAATTGAACATGGTATTTTTCTAGAAAATGACAGTTTGAAAGAACTAATATTTTCAAGGAATTGAGATTTCCAAAAATTTAATTAAGAATGCACCAAAATTTCCAGAGCTTTGTCCATCTGTCCTCTATGAAATCTTCAAGCCCTTAGAAACCTAATTGCAAAGCAGATAAAGAAGTAAAATTGACATAGAAATCTGGCACAGTGGAGATCAAACTGTTCCCTTCAAGATCAAGCATGTTCAAAGATCGAAGCTTTGATAATGAAGATCCAATGCTACCGGTAAGCAAACATTCCTCCAAGCTTAGCTCTTAAAGTTTGGGAGTTGATATAGCCAAAGCTCCACACCTTTCCTCCCCTTTCGTAGAGATGTTCACTCCACCGAGATAGAACCCCCTAAGCCTCCCAAGCCCTTGGAGAAGAGTTTCGAGATTTGGGTTTTTGAGCTCCAACAATAAAAACAAACTGACATAAGCATAGAAAGACAAATCCAAAGAAACCAAATTAATGAGATGAGAGAGATGCTGATGGGGACTTGCCCTTTGAATCCTGAATTGGAATGATTTAGATGCGTTAGATTCCCGAGCTCTTTTCCATCCAAAACTTGGAATCGTACTGATATATTATTGCAACAGTGAGAACTCCGACGTCTAGAGGACTGCAAGGAGAGAATTCCGACGACTAGTTCCTTGAGGAAGGAGTTCCAGCAACAAGGGCCTGTAGAGAGAGAAAGTTTCCAGCAGAAAAAATTGAAATAAAAGAGGTGGTGGAAGGGTCTGCAGCATGACAGAGGTTGTCTGCTACAGGGAATATGAAGTTTTCCGGCGGTAGAAGACTATAGGGTTTTTTAAAAGGCTCTGATATCATGTTGAAATTCAGAATAATGAGGAACTAAGCAAGGGAGAGTGTTTCATTAATATGAAGTGGGATATTAATAACTTGTTACATGAATCCTAAAATAGGAAAAATAATAAAAAGGAAATAATTTTTCATCTAATATCCCCAATAATCAATTCATATTAATTATTTGGAGATAAAGAAAATAATATAAAATAGGAAAACTAAAATAGGAAAGGAAATAACTCCTAATCCAAGGAAATACATATAAAATAGGAAAGAAAATAACTCCTAATCTCAGGAAATAATTTATTCCTCATAACTTCTCACAGGAATAAATTATTTTCTAATACGACTTCTAACAAATTTAAAAACATGTTCATTGTGTTATATTTTTGGTACATTATTTTTTATGTTTTGAATGATATTTAAAAAAAAAAATTGACGCATAACTATATTTCAATGCTTAAATTGGGAGGTACCTAAATTTCATTTTCTGAAGGATTACTTGATCTCAATTGCGTGCTTTTTCATAATATATTTTAATATTGTATGGTATAGTTTGTCCTTTACATATGGAAGACATACATTGTTTTCTTAAACTATCCCATAAGTTTTCACGTGAATTATCTTGATGATATACTTGCTACCTGCAATCACCTAACTTAAGAAACCATCAACCCATCGTTCTTTAGTGTAATTTGTGATCATCATCATATCACGGGCTCATGGGGCTAATAACATAGTTTATATACCCTGAATTAATTAATGTTGATAATTCTCAACTTGAATCTTTCATGGTGGTTGATGAGATTTTAAATGCCTTAATACTTTCTATTTCCTAGTTTCTCCATTTTAACTTTTTTAATGGTAACTTTTCATTTCTACTATACCTTTATACTAAGGCTATAGTTTTCATTTGTGGTATTAATTGAATGTTGAATTTTATATTTTTTATTTATTTTCGACGGAAGATATATTATGATACAGCTAAGCATAGAAGAAGATTACAAAAAGATTTTCTCAAAGAAATTCATCACAATCGAGGGCATCAAATGGACCCCTGATTTTGATCACAGTCAAGAACCCCCAATTGCGCCTATCTGGTTCTCATTACCTGAACTCAAACTTCAATTCTTTGATCTACCTACCTTATATGTAATTGAGACTATCCTTGGAAAACTTTTGCAGGTACACACACCTACAGTTCATTTCTCAAGGCCCTCTGTTGCAAGGATTTTGATTGAAAGAGACATTATACTACCAGATGTAGAAGAAGTCTGGTTTGGCTCTGGGCACAATGATTATTGGCAAAAAATAATTATGAAACAAAAACCTTACCACTGCAAGCACTGCAAGATGTTTAGACATCCGCAAGAGAAATGTTTCAGATTGCACCCACAGTTGAAAACTAATAGTCAAAAGTAGGAACATGTTGTTAATACACCCCACGTGCCTGAACGCGCCCTCAGCAAACCTGATGACAGCCAACCTGAGGAGGGAATCACCACAAGACAGAAAATGATGTCTGCCCCTGAGAACCCTTCTCCTAACCATATACTCTTCTCCTGACCAAATGTTCGGACCGAAAGTCAGGATAGTCCCGCAGCTCATATTCAAAAAGCATCGAATGAAGAGGTGACAATTCACACTTCACATACACTGAAACCTATCGCTGTGGAAATGACAGTCATTCCTTCTACTGCGGTTCTAATATCTAATCAGACTGAGGATCACATGAGCCAGTCCTCAGGTGAAGAATGACAGGTTTACACTTCTTGGCGGAAGAAGAAGGCTGAGGGCACACTCCAACTTAGAAACTTAATGGATGATACTTTGGTTACTCCTGACAATGGTACGACACTTCAAAATTTGTTATCTGGCTCCGCTCTTAAAACTAGAGGAAGAGACAGGATTAATATATATATTATATATATTATTAAATAGGAAAAGATACAGTTAGGTTGTTTGAGTAGGCTTAAGAGAAGGCCTAACCCACACGATACAACACACAAAACCTAAAAAAAAAAGAAAAGACACATATAAGATAAAAAAACCAAAACCACCAATACGCGCAAAAAACAAGGGACGCCCAATTTAGTCCTGCCTCTGCCCTTAGTTCTCGGAAGGGAGCCCGACTAACAAATTGGGGAGGTGCGTACCATTACCCAAAGTAATTAATGTTTCATCCATCAGATTCCTGAGCTCAAGTAGGTGTTCATTTTTCTTCTTCCTTCTGGAGTGTAAACTTGACATTCCTCATCCGATGATTGACTCATCTGATCAGTGGATTGGTTCAAAGGTGGTCGGACAAGTATAAGTTGTTGCACATCACGAACTCCATGTGTCTGAGTAACATTAACATCTTGTTGGACCTGATGAGGCGGTAGAGAAGCAGTAGAAATATTGTCACCTGTAACATTAGTGATAGGTTCTAGGGCAGGTGAAGTCTGAAATGTCTCTCTCGCCCCCACGAAAGGAGGTTCCAAAGACGGGGAAACTACAACATTGTGTGGAGGCTGAATGATTGAAATATTGTCTGCGAGGATAGTGACATCTTCAGGGGTATCATTTTGATGATCAATAGTGTCAATAACTTGGAGCATATCAGGAGGAGAGGGAATCCCTGCCTCTGGCAGAGCACTTTGCTTCTTTGGTTTGAGGTAGGGGTGTAGATGGTGACATTAAGAACTAGAGTGACGGAACATACGACATTTCGAACAATACGAAGGGAATGCCTCAATCACAACATTTTGTCAATATCAATGGTATTGTGTGTCTAACTAAATCCTTTCAGAAGCAATTGAAGTGATGTCTCTTTCAACAAGTGCTTTGTCTTCAGATGGACGAGAAAGATTAAAAGTAGGAATGTCCATTTTGAGTGGTTTATCATAAGTTGAGACAATAGAATACAACATTTTTTTAGTAAAATTTAGTACAATACTTTTTGAGAAAAATAATGAAATTTCAGGCCAGGGAGGCGAATCCAAACCGGAATAATTGGCGGACCGGAATAAGAGGCGGTGTGGGTCAAAATCCACCGACCATTTCAAAATCTTCATTGCTCAGTTATCAATCCAGATCAACTGTCCAGCAAATAATCGTGTGTAATCCTCTTTGAATAAGAATGTGTTTTCCATCTAAAAGACCAATTTTCCACTCCCCAACAAGATGCATAAGCTCAAGTTCTTTACGAATAAGTTTCATTGTAGGATGACCATAAAGAAACTTCCCAACCAAATTCAGATGACAGGAGGAAGCAAGTTGAATACATTCAGCTTTTGTAAAAAAAATGACAAACTTCTCATTCTTTGTACTAGGTTTCTTAATGTTCTCATCCTACTCAAACGGAGGAAATAGCACGATTTAAGAGTACCTGGGGCGTGGACACCCGCAATGGTTATAGTATACGATATGTCCGAAGCCATCGCCAGAAGAGGGAGGCGCGGTGAAAGAGCAGCGAATTTGTAGTGGATGGAAGAGTGAAATCCGAAAGGGGCACTGTAACCCCTGCCAAGTGGAGCAGAGTGCGAACTTTCTGCTCGAGCCGAGGATTGCGGCGAAGAAAGAAAAACTGCGGCGAGGAAAGAAGACGAGAGGCGACGACGACGAAGGAGGAGAGCAGCGGACCTTCCAAACAGCGAAGATGAGGAAAGACTGCGGTGAAATAGACTTTCCAAAACGGCGAAGACGAAGACGACGCCGGAGAAGACGCAGCGAGGAGAGGAAAGGATCAGATGTGATAAATCGTCGCAACAGTTGCTAGGGTTCGCCATGAGGCGAAACCCTAGCAGAGCCAAGCGTGGAAGAAGACGACGTCATAAATATTATATATAATATATATGAATCATTTGTATGTGGTGTTTATCGTGGGGGAAGGGTGCCATGCTTGGACTCTTCCACACAATCTATATGATCCTTATTTCTTTTTAATATATTAGTCTTTTGGCTTTCAAAAAAAAAAAAAAAATATATATATATATATATATATCACAGCTGATAACTATTAGACAAGAACATTGGCATGAGTTCTGTTGGTTAATCTTTTTTCCTAGTTTATATATCAAATTTGATCATCATATGAAATCCTTCTATTGATGTTAACTTTTTTATTTTCAGGGGCATTTTCATGCTTGCCATGTAATTCTTGTATAGTTACATATCTAACAACTATACTTTGATATTTGCATGCATATCACTCAAATCATTAACATCACATGAAAAATGTTACTATTACTAACTTTTCAAAAGTGAAGTACCCCTTTTCATGCGTAGGTTTATAACACTAAATTTTTACATGTAAATATCAAACTTTAGGTATTAGATATGTAAATACATAAGAATTCTGTGGTATGTATGTAAATTTCCTTTGTTTTTATTGCATTCAGATAAATTATGCTGCTTCTGATTTTTCTGATTAGTTTACTGAACCTTATTGTAGAGTAATACTTGGAGGCTCAGGTGAAGATGATAAGATATGCTTTCTTTCCCGTGCAGCAGTAACAACAATATTTCAGGAGATCTTAAAAATACTGGTTCTTTATCTTAATAAATCTTCTTTTAACTGGGCCAGACACTCATGCTCTTCCCTTTTATCTTTGGCCTCTCTGGATTTAACCGTTTCACAGAAGTCCTTCGAGAATGTGGAAATTGTGCAATTTGCTTTTCAGGTTCTCGAAGGTAGCTTCTTTTGCATGAAAATACTGGATGAAAACGGCGCTTTGATTTCTTCCATTTTGGCAGCCTTATTTATTATTGACTGGGAATGTAGTATTTCATCACTTACTGATGATAAAGATCATTCTGAGAATTATCATAGAACAGAAGGAATTCAAATATTACGAGATTCCCAAACCAATACAGACCATCATTTAACAGAGAAGATTGATGCCAAGTTGGCTCTAAAAAAACAAATATATTCATTTCACGATTCGCTTCGTACTCGTTTCTCGAGTATTGTTAGCCTGTGCGACTCATCTGAGTTGCGAAATATATTAATTCAGACCATCAGGTCTTGTGTTTCTGAAACAGGTAAACTCAGTTCTGATGTAATTTCTTCGTTGTGCTCTTCATGGGCTATAGATCTGCTGGAAATTACTTGCCAAGAGTATAATCAATTCCAATGCATGTTGGATCTGTTGTTATATGAGGCTGAGTCATGGCCATTGTGGGTCACACCTCTTTTAGAAGATGGTCGTAGAACTGCTACTCTTCGGTGTATGAGAGCAAGTGATGAAATCAATGTATGAATCAATTGCAACTCTTGATTTCTCGCGGCATTTACATAGAGATCACCTAATTTCTATGCATTTACAGATCTAACATCTAAACTTTAATTTTTACATTTATACCACCAAATCTTTTTTCTTATCACTTAGAAAATACCACTATTTTAAATTTTAAGAAGTGAAATACACTTTTCATACATAGGTAAGGTGGTATGACACGGGAGTTTTCCTCCAAAAGCTGAACTGATTTGGCCTGAACCGGTTCAATTGAGAGAGGGGGCTGAGCTGGGCCCCTCCCTCCCTCTTTTCATTTGGTGAAAATTTTCTCCCCTTCCTGTTTTCATCCCCCCCCAATCACTTTTCTATTTATATGTATTTTTTGTTCTTAGGGTTTCAGCTTATGTTGTATCATCTGATTTGAGTTTGTGAGGACAGCCGTCGGAATTCTGTTTTCCCCTTGAGAGCTGCATCCGACGGAAAAGATGGTGCTTTTGCTGTATCCCTCTCCCCGGTGGTGATTTTCTTCCCTTACTTCTCCAACCCTTCCCCCTACCACCTATTCCCTCCACTCAGCCCCAGCCACTACCAAGTTCTCTCCCCTCCCGTATCTCCATCCTCCAGTCAGCACTCCCAGCCGCATAACCCAACCGGTTGGTTTCCTGCAGCCGACTGCCGCCGTTCAGGTAAGCTCCCCAGCCAGCCTACAGCCTGCTCTCCACTACCCAGTCATCCCGTACAGGCCAGCCCGTAATCCCCTCTCCACTACCCAGCCATTCCCGTAACCCCTTTTCCTCTACAGAGCCAATCCCATAACCCCCCTCCCAACTACATAGCCACTACTGCCAGCCCCTCCACAGGCCCTACACTTGTTGGAATTCCCACACCTGCCAGCCTCAATCCTCCCTATCTACCCCTATTGCTGCCGCAAGTACCCCGCCAGCCACATCACCTGCTGTTCTGCCGGCGCCACCCCCTCTCATCCTCATCTTAGGGTGTCTTTTGCGTTTATTGGTCGTTTATTTCCTGTTTTGACGAGTCTTATTGTAATCTTTGAAATTCAGCAATAATATTTGTGTTTCATTTGTGGCTCGGGCTTCCTCCTCCAGTATCATGACCTATATGTGAAAATTGAAGTTTAGGTGTTAGATATATAAATACACAGGAATTGAGTGGCATGTATGTAAATCCTCCTAAGTTTCGTTAGTTTTTATGCATTTTCTGATATTAGGTTTTGAAGCATATTATAATCTTTGATTTCACAAGGTCTGTTTTTTGTGAATTTCCATACGTTTTAAGTTATACATACTTCTGTATTTTTGAAGTATTGAAAATAATTTTAGTGGTAGCAAAGTTGAAAAGCTACTTCATTAGGATAAATATGACATTTCTGAATGTCCCTCATTCTCTGCTAGTAACTTTTTTTTTGGTCACTGTTTGTCCTTGTCGGTATTGCTATGCTGTATTTTGGAAAGGAATTTTAATTTTTTGTTAAATACCCTCTCCTCAAGATTTGGTTTTTTGCATGCTCAACCAATTTTTTTATCTAATTTCAAATGAAAATTAAAATTCATTGTTAATATTTGCCCTCAAATTTTATTTTCCTTCTAAATGTTCGACCAACATGATTGGGTTGCAGTGATTTTTTTTAACAGTTTGTAAATCATGTATGCAGCCACAAGAAGTAGCAGTTGATGAAGCGAGAACTATTTTTCATTTAACACTAATTTAGCATGCCAAAATTGCAAATAAACTTTTTAGATACATCTATTCAACTTATGTAAATACAAACTCTAGCTTTCTGCCACTTGATTTTTCATTTCTCACATGCAAAATTTTATAAACTAGATAAAGAATAGAGTACAACACGGCATGTAACAAAAATGCTATTGTAAAAAGAAAAATACAACATGATAATATGAGTTACAATTATTTGAATCGTCTAGCTTGAACCGAAGTGAATATTTGTGAGTTTTGATTAATCTTCTTCTGATTTCTACACCTTTTAGTTCTAGGAATGTGAAATCTTCTATCTATCAGGGAGTCAAGGTTTTGAATCTCCGGTAAGTATTAGAATAATGCAATTGTAAAGGAGCGTCATTCTGCTCCCAAAATGAATGAAGATTTGGCATTTCAAGTACTTGCAGAGTATTTCAATAATAATATCAACAACTGATGATGGGATTAAAACCTAGAGGCTAGTTGGAGCAGGAATATCAATTAATGTTTCTAGCTGAAGACTTTTAGAACAAGTATAATTACATGATGGAAGGTCTTCCACCAAACAAGTGCAACTTGAGCATTAAATGTAAAGTCTGTGACCGAAATTTAGGAAGTCGCAGCGCAGGTTGTTACCTGAAATATTTAGAGAATTTATGCCAAAAAATATGATTAGAGAAATAGTATGAAGGAATATTTTCGAATTCCATTTTCTGCCAAAATCCCAACAACCGAGATCCATGCCTAATTGCGAGAATTAATTGAACCGGCGAAGTTGAATTCCATGAACATATTCAAGTAGAAGCAGCTTTTGGGATAAGATTAAACTTTTCTACATATGCTTTCACAGTGACAACTATAAAGAAGAATATCCTATAATTCATTATCAACAAAAATATTTTACTTATTTGAATTATATAAATCATTTTTTGTTTTGGGAACTACTACGATTTAGAAAAAACAGTTCTAATTGGATTTTGGAACTTGCTGAAGCAGGAACTAAGCCATGGCAACTTTCTTGCTTTGGCTGACAAGCTTATATCAAATCTTGGCGTGCAAAAAGTGATTGTTGGTTGTACTGAAGAAATTCCAGCTGATAGTGCTCCAAATTCTCTACATCCTTACTCTCGGGCATGGCTTGCTGTCGAATTTCTTTGTACATGGAATTGGAAAGAGGGGAATGCCTTGAGTTCATTAATCGCATTTTTATCCAAACACACAAATGATGAAAATCCTACGAATAAAGTCACGATAATTTCTTCTTTGGTCAAGATCCTGTTCGATGGAGCTCTCATCCATGGTACCCATAATCCTTGGATTGTTTTCTGCTCTTGGATCACTTCAGATGATGCTGTTGAGAATATTGAAGACCCCTTTTTACGCGCTCTCATTTTTCTGCTGCATAACTTTATTGTTAAGGATAATATATGGGGCAGGCTTGAGACTGATGATTTCATTAAACATGTTCTTGATAAACTTTTTTTAAATGGCTCTGTAAATAGAGATTGTCTAAGGATTCTTCCTTATGTGCTGAGTTTTATCGTTCGATCTTTGGTATTTCAAAGGACAGAATTTGATGAATCCACAGAAGATGCTTCCTTTGTTCCTTTTGAATCTGTTGAACTGTATGATAATATCATAAATTGGCTTGAAATTGCTGCTGCATTTCCGCCTTTGCATTCGTTGGAAACTGGAAGTAATGGTAATTCATTTAATTTTCCTTCTAGTAAAGTATCAAAATAGTTCTCTGACTATTTACGTGGTCCATTTTAGTCTCCTAGCCTATGAAATGTCAATTGGTCCTAAAATTTTTAAATTGGGACTGAAATAGCTCCTCATGGAGACTATTTCACCTCGCATTAAAAGAGTCCAAGACTGAATTGATAATTTTATAGACTCTGGGACTAAAATGACTCCTACAAAGAGTCGGAAAAATGTTTTGACACTTTTCTCATTTTCTATCATAAATGTTCTTCCAAACTTAATTTTCTTCCAAACTTAGGGGGGTTTTTTTTTTTTTTTTTTTTTTTTTGTGTGCGAAAAAGGCTGGGGATATAGATGGTTTGGGGGTGTAATTTAATGAAAGTTTTTTTGTTTTATATAGAAGCTTTAGCATGGATTCAAGCTGTCTTGGCTTGCTTTCCTTTAAGTTCACGAGAAGGAATGGGGGAACTGAAAGTGGAGGTTCTGAGAAATATCAGTGAAATGGAGAAAAAAATATTGCTAAGTTTGTTCCGAAAGCAACGGAGTGCTGCTACTGTTTCTGCTGTGCCTTCATCATCTACTTCGACTTTTGCTATTCCGATGAAGGCGGAGATGATCATCGCAAAGCTAACAGCCATTATAGTCGCTTATTGCTGGGACGAGCTTGTGGAGGAGGATTGGAGTTTTGTGATCACTAAATTGCTCAAATGGTTAGAACCATCAGTTTTGTTGCTAGAGGAATTGGCGGAGAATGTCGATGATGATTTTACAAGTAACACCCCTTATGATACAGAATTCATTTTAAAAAAACTCAAACAAGTTGTGCAGCAATTCGATCCTTTATCAGCGAGTCTTTCTTCTACTTCTTTAGTAACATTCTCTCTTTTATCGGATGTCCTTGAACGCCAAAAAGCTGATAGTCTTGAAGATTTGCAATCTATAAAACATGGAAACTGGCTCCAGGTTAAAGACCAAATTTTGCAAAATGTTCTCCGTTTATTTTTCACAACCGGTGTTGTTGAGGCTATTGCAAAGTCGTGTAGCGAAGAGGCTTCGTCAATAATAGCATTAAGTAGGGTAGATTATTCACTATTTTGGTCTTTAATTGCATCATCTGCTATAAATACGCCAGAAAATGCTCGAAGTAAAGCAGTGGAATCAATGGAACGTTGGGGCCTTAGCAAAGGGCCGATAAGCTCTTTGTACGCCATTCTTTTTTCTTCCATACCTATCTCTTCTATGCGACGTGCTGCTTTTAATTTTTTATCAACCAAGCCCATTATTCACCTGTCAATTTTGAAAGAAACATTTCTTGAAAGCAATGGCATAGCCAGTCAGGAGCCATATTTTTTCAACACTATGGATAGAATTGCAGAACAAACCCTGTGTTTAAGGGAAGAAATCTCTTGCTTCATTCTGAAGCCAACTGAACTTTCAGAAATGGCATTGACAGGCCATGATAGGGTGAGAAGAAGGTTCCACATTCTGATTATGTATACTATGGCTCTCTTATTAGTTTTCCTGCAGTAATTTTCTATAATTTTCTATTTCAGATAAATGTTTTTCTCTCGTGGGCTTTAATGCTCGCTCACTTACATTCATTGCCATCTTCTTCCACAACAAGAGAAAGATTAGTTCAATTTATACAAGATTATGTTAGTTCAGCAATATTAGACTGTTTATTCCAACATATTCCCTTGAAGGGAGTTGGAACTGGCGTAAAGAAGAAGGCGACAGAGCTTTCTGGTGTTGCATTACTGGCTGCAAATTCTGCCATGAATGCTATAAGTACAGGGTTTCTTTTGTTAATTATGGAGTCACTTTGGCCTGTCGAAACTAAAGGTATGGCTTCACTTGCTGGTGCAATTTACGGAATGATGGTCCGGCTCCTACCTTCTTATGTGCGTGATTGGTTCACTAGCTTGCGTGACCGTTCTTTGTCATCTGCTATTGAGTTCTTCACAAAGGTTTGGTGCAGTCCTCCTCTTCTTTCAGATGAATTATCTCAGGTATGTGCTTGTTGTCAATTTTGATGGATTTACCGCATCCAATTGCGGTTTTTCATTCTTTTTTTGACCACCCCATAAGATAGAATTTTGTAATTTCCATAAATATCATGAAAGTGACTCACTTTTGCCCAGAGTCATTGTCTATATGAGAAAAGTGTCAAAATGATCCCCCGACTCTTCAAGGGGGTTATTTTAGTCCTAAAGTCTATAAAAGTGTCAATTTAGTAGCCCTCGTTGAGGAGTTATTTAACCATATGGACAACAAATTAAATATAGCTAACTATTTTCTCAATAGAAACTTGTTCTGAAAAATTATTAAAATAAGGTGGCTAATTTACTAATATTCTCCACAAATATTATCAAGTATTTTTGGAGAGAACTTATACTAATAGCAACATATTTCATTAATATAATGTCTTTAAGAGTATTTGAAAATCATGCCCAACTCTTCTCTAATCTTTTCATAAGGCCAATGCATTTATTTTCTTCCTCAAAATTATTTGAGTGTTTAGTATTTAACACGTTCATTCTCAGCACTAACGAAAGTTGGACCCTAATTCTTTTGAGCTATCTTTATTAGATACCCTCCAAATCAAAATGCGTACATATGTTCTCCCTCACGAAGAAAAACTTACAATTCTAGGAATCTCACCTTCCATAAAAATAAACTTATTACTCCAAACTCAAAATTCAATGAGAGGAACTTCAAGGACACCAATTTTAGGGTTGAAGTTTAGTTGATCATCTGTCATCTTCTCCATCACTTGTATTGATAAAACACATTTCTCATTCTTACTAAAGCCTCGCTAGAACCATGAAATCCTTCAGCATCTTATCAACTCATCCAATCTACATAAACCTCACAAGAACCGCAAACTCCCTCACCGCCTTATCAATACTACCAACCTATGCATTAAGAGCTTTGTATTCATTCTAGGAGGAAAATGAAAGTTTAAGAATCAATGGAGTACAAATTGATGGGAATAAATTTATAAATTATGATATCAATCTATATTGACTTAAAAAAAGGGGTGAGGTCATGCATTAAATAACAATATATGATTTCATGATTTAGGATGGCTTTCACTTAGATTTTGTGTTTTTTTATTTATGTTGATATAAGATTTCAGAACCATCAAGTGAAAGAAAGTTGCAATAGAGGAAATCCAGGACTTACAAATAAAAGGTCTGTGAAGTTTTTGAACTTTCATCTAGAAAAACAATTGGTTGGATGTAAATGGATCTTTATAATCAATTATAAAGTAGATTCTGGTGTTAATAAATTTGAAGCTCAACTTCTTGTAAATGTGGGGTACATGCAATGGTATTGTAGTGGCTATCAAGATTTTCCTCTCCCACAAAGTATACATGAAGATTCCACTAAACTTAAAAATTAGAGAAACAAAATAAGACATGCAAACCAATAAATAGAAGTTAGAAACTAAATTGGGGAGTTGAGACATTTTTCCTTAACCAGGCAAAACTTAACTCTTTAGCCTAAAAAAACTCAAAATTAGAAATAATTTATTAATTTTTCATATATCATCAATAGATTATCTTAGTTCTTTCTCTTCTTAAAAAAAATAATATTTATAGAAAACTAAAAAAACCAAAATAAAAATACAAATAAAATTTATCATAGAGAAATAATAAATAATTATAAGAAAATAAGTAAAATGTCTGCAAGATTTTTTTTTTTGGGAAAAACTTCGCTTATTTAACTTCGACATGCACACAATCATTGAACAATCGTAATTGCTTATAGTGCCCGCCAACCCTGCATCCCTCTCTTGCATTGTTCCCTTCTAGAGACTTTTCTCAAAGCTCTTTCTCAACAAACCCCTCCCCCCCACCACACACACACACACACACACAAAATTTATCCTAAAAAAATTTAGCTCAAACATATTATAAATCATATTAAATATACCATAATATCATCCTAAAAAGGTTAATAATTTTATTATTTAATAATTTGATGTTGAATGCCTCAAAAAATTAGACATTGAGGCTTATGCCTCAATCAAAAAATGCTAAGCCCCGCATAAACCATTAAGTGATGGTTTTTTGGCACCTCATGGTTTGGTGCAGTTCAAGGCGTGTGCCTTGAATGCTTATTTAATTCATGATGCAAAATTATAAAAGTCTTATATAGTTTAAAATAATCTTTTTTTGCTTGGCTTGGCTCTTCAAATCTGTTCAAAATAATGTGCAAATTTAGTACCAACTGATTAGATTATCTTAATCAAACGCTCTCCTAAAGAAAACATGTGATTTTGATCGTGTATATAGATGATACTATTTTGATTTGTGACTTCGAATTAAAGCTAACTGCATTGGGTTTCTGGCCCACTTCATTGGAAATGATAGAGCAAGAAGAAAATCGTGTTTCTGTCAATTATTTTTTTGCCACACTGTTTTATTCTATGAATGGTAGATATCATGATCATATTAAATAATTAGACACCACCAGAAGTAAGTTTCAATCCGCTTATGTCATTTGTGCATTCATGCTTTTTAATGGACATCGTGGTCTGTGTTGGTATAATTTCATTCTACTTAGATTGATCTTTATACCTCTTATGATGATGTGTGGAAATTAATCTAAATATTTATTTTACTTCAATACTCTTGATCCAGAGAAGTATAATCAGCCTTCCTAGTAAAGTTCAAAAATAATCCTTTGACTATTTACATGGGGTTATTTTAGTATCAGAGTCTATAAAAATGTCAAATTAGTCCACCACGCTTTCAATATGAGCTGAAATAAGGGGACAAGTTTAGCCTGCATTAAAAGAGTGATGACTAAATTGACAATTTCGGAGACTGAATCTAAAATGGCCCTGTGCAAAGAGTACCATTTTAATTTTAACACTTTTCTATCAGCCTTCCAAACCCATGGTTGTGCTTCTATAAAAAAGAGCCATTTACAGACATAGCACACAATTTTTGTGCACTCACGTATCTCACACTTAAACTTTCATACTCACACACATATCACTCAAATCTTTGTTATCACATTAGCAATAACACTATTATCACTTCTTAAAAGTAAAATGCATCTTTTCATGCATAGGTATAAAACGCCAAAGTTCTAGGTATGTAAATATAAAAATGTTGGTGTGAGATATGTAAATGCATAAGAAATTGTGTGCTATGTAAATTTCCCGATATATATGTATATATATATATATATCAAATAGCAGTCTTCTGACTAAGAACTTTACGATCGAGCAGGTTAAGGAAACTGTTCTAGCCGACGAAAACTTCTCCCTAAATGTAAATAAATCATCTTATGAGATAGTTGCTACATATAAAAAAGAGGAGACCGGAATGGATCTGGTGATACGGCTTCCTACTTGTTACCCGTTGAAGCCTGTGGACGTTGAGTGTACGAGAAGTTTGGGAATAAGTGAAGTAAAGCAAAGGAAATGGCTGTTATCATTGACTGCATTTGTACGCAATCAGGTATATTCTGATTTTTTGGGACATTCACTTACAACCTAATTCGTATGTATTTACATATCTAACAACTAAGCTTTGCTTTTTTACATTTATACCATCCAAAAAATTTTTATCACATCAAAAGTACCACTATTTTAACTTTTAAAAAGGGAAATACACCTTCCATGCATAGATAAGGTGGCATATATGTAAAATTGAAGTTTGGGTGTTTGATATGTAAATATATTGGAATTGTGTGGTATGAATGTAAATCTTCTTTTTTAAACTATGTTTCCACTTTTCATAATTTCATTTGTTTTGCTATTGCTGTTGGGTGCATTTCATGGCTCTTTGCATTATTGCTTGCATTGAATTTTTTCTTTTTATAATGATCATTCCTGTGATGAGAAGTTCCACAAGGTTAGGTTCCCTTGCTTTGATTCATTATAAAACTAAATTTCAAGTTGATATCCGATTAAGTAATTATAACGTCTACAAGCTCAATATTGGATAATCCTGCTTATTATTGCACATGATGGTACATTTTCTTCAGTGCGTAGCTATTAGCAGTATTTGTCATTTCATTTTTATTTTTTTATTATTTTTTAGAGCGTACATACCACAATTATTATGTATTTATATAATTATTATGTATTTATATAAACATTAATATTTACAAGCATACTATCTTTAACATCAACAATAACGCCATCACCAATACACATTTTCATGTATAGGTTAATTACACCAAGATGTTATGTGTGTAAATATCAGAGTTTGGGTATTAGATTTGTAAATACATAAGAGTTGTGTGGTATATATGTAAATACACTGCAGTAGAAGGCTCAAAAACTCCCTTTGAGAGCACCAAAGAGAGTGAAGGATTAACCTAACATAGACACATCACCACACAGTATATAGAACAATAAAACAACTGCGCATATAACAACTTTCGAATTTTCATAGTTTGATCAAATATGACCTACTTAAACTTTGATTTTGATTTTTATGACAATCATAATTGAGATTTATAATCCACATTTCCACCTTTTTCGTTGATGGATTAGCTTTCACCTTTGTGAGACAATGTGAAGTTTAATCTGGCCGACTCTATATGATGCGAGAGTACTTAATAGCAAAGAAGGAATTCTATTATGTAGGGCTTATGACTTCTTCCCAATGTAGTAACACAAAAGAAAAGAGTTATATAGGGTACTGCGGTGTAATCATGTTGAGCTGAGCCGAGATTGAGTTTCTCTTAGTTTGAACTTGAGCTTGATTAATTAATCGATGTAAGTTTAATCGGCTCACGGGATGACTTCTCTATTATGAAAAAGAGTGAATGATTCTGATTAAAACAATTATTGCAATAAAATGACAAAAATAAAGAATGAGCAATTGGGAGAGAAATAATAAGAAATTACATAATATAAGAAAGAAAAATAGAAATTTTAAATACTTTTAGGTGGGAGTGTGATTTTTTTACTTAGTGATTGTTGTAATAAAATGACAAGAAGAGTGAATAATTAAGGGAGTAATAATAAGAAATCGCATAATATAATAAAGAAAATTATAATTTTTAAATATTCTTAGGCGGTAAATTATTTAATTATGAAAAATAGTGAATGATTTTGATTCAAGCAACTGCTGTAATGAATTGACAAAAAAAATGAGTAATTACGGAAGAATTAATGTGAAATTACTTGGCATAAGAAAACAAAATATAATTTTTAAATATTTTAAATAATTTATGCTTAAAATCTTAAATTTTCATATATTTTAAATACATTTTATATTAGTATTTTTTTTTTAAAATGGGTCGGGTTACAAGCTAATTAGTCAATTTGGGGTTGGCTGAAGCTTGGTTTATTAGCTTTTCAAGTTCACCACTAACCGTATACCTAGCCGAGCCAAAACTTGTTTTTGAGTCAGCTTTACTTCATTGCAACCCTACTTTTACTTTTATGGAAAGGGTAATGATTTAGGAAAATGAAATTGAGGTTACTAATTTGGAGAAAGGAGACTATAGTGTGTTCTACATAGTTTCTAGCATGATCACCTAGGTTTTCTTTAAGCATTACATGGATGCTTCTACATAATTTATTTCCAAAGCTACAAACTTATTTTATTTTATTGATTTTACTATAATATGTAATGTGCATTTACATACATTCCACCCAATTCCTACATATTTACATATCAAACACCTAAATTGTTTTGCATTTATACCGCCCAAATCTTTCATATCACAAAAAAAATATCTCTATTTTAACTTTTAATGCGTGAAATTCACCCTTTCATGCTTTGGTAAGTTGGCAGATATGTAAAAATTGAAGTTTAGGTGTTTGGCTTGCAAATACATTAAAATTTAGTGGAATGCATGTAAATCTTCCAATATATAACTACACATGTCGATACATTCATACATATAGAGTAAAATCTCAGACTAAACCTCTAAATACTTATATGGCTTCATTTTAGTTCCAAAGTCTATAAAATTATCAAATTAGTCCCCAATATTCTTTTAATGGAACCTGTAATCGCCCTCCTTCGCAACCATTCCTACCCGTATTAAAAAAACGTGAGGACTAAATTAACGTGTATATACTTTGGGACTCAAATGACCCCCTCCAAATAGTTAAGCGATCATTTTAGCACCTCTCTCTCTCTCTCTCTCTCTCTCTCTCTCTCTCTTAGCTCTTGGTTAAGACATAGTTAGGGCCTGAAGCTCTGTTTTGATTGTGCAGAATGGTGCAATTGCCGAGGCCATCCGCATATGGAAGAGCAATTTTGACAAGGAATTTGATGGAGTTGAGGAGTGCCCCATCTGTTACAGTATCATACACACCACCAACCACAGCCTTCCTCGCCTGGCTTGCAAGACCTGCAAACACAAGTTCCATTCTGCCTGCCTCTACAAATGGTTCTCTACCTCTCACAAATCAACCTGCCCCCTGTGCCAAACTCCATTTTGAACCCATCCCCATCAAAATGGTCTCAAGAACGTTTGATGTGCTTCGAGATGAGTGCCATACATCGATCTCAAAGCAGATCTACGGATTTTGAGTCGGAACATGTTTTTTTTTTTTTTCCCCTATTTTTCTTCCTTGGATATTTGTATATAGATCTTAACAGAAGCTTTTGATAATGTGAACTATATGTTTCTGTAATACTGATTAAGATTGATGAATTTTTCTGAAATTTTTATGGGGGTGTTCACCTACATACGGCCCGTTTTCTATGTATTTACATATCCAGTATATGAGGTTTACTTTTTTACATTTGTATCATTCAAATCTCTCATATCATATCGAAAATATCGATGTATTGACTTTTGAAAGGTGAAATATACTTTTTTTATGTAAAGGTGAGATGATATATATGTAAAATATGTTGGAATTAAGTGGTATGTTTGCAAATCTTCCAATTTTTATAGAGTGGTTCATGGGATGCATCTTTGATATGAGTTTTAAGTAATCAATAATAACGGTATGATTATTTTTTTATCTTTTTTTATTATTATTATTTAAAAAGGAACGGTCAAAGGTTATTATATGAGCCTCCAGCCACACTTAATGTGCCTAACAATTTGTGTGTCACTTTCTTAAGGTCAAACTGTGTCAGAGGGGATTCGAACCCCCGATCAGAGGGTTCTTATACTGTAGATGCCAACCAACAAGATGGTCATATGAACACAATCAAACAAATTATTTTTTATATTTAACTTGTTTATAATCTAAGCTTAAAAAATTTATGTGTGCTCGACTCGTTTAATGAATGCTTCAAACATGTGCTAGTTAATGAGGTAAACATCAATATGTTCGGGAAATCTTCATTTAATGAGTCAAACACATTGCCATGTGTTTTGATATATTATAGATTTTACCTTTACTTCATTTACTATTCATATGTTGTCATATATTTATGAAGTCCTAAGTTTAGAATATTAAAGGTCTTGTTTTTAATTCAAAAAATAAAAAGAGGCCATTTACATACAAATCCCTCAATTCTTATATATTTATATATCTAGCACTTAAACTTTCACTCATGTAAACTTTACTTTTTACATTAATGTCACCCAAACTTATTATATCACATGAAAACATATTACTATTGTAAAATGAGATGTCTTTTCATGCATAAGGAAGGTGACATATATGTAGAAGTTTGAAGTTTATAGATGTGTGAGTTTATAGATGTTTAGTGGTATGCATATAATTTTTTGTTTATATTTATAACATTTAGGTCTTGCTTATTATATTAAGAAAATGACTTTTATTAACCTTTTTTTAAAAATACATCTTTCAAGCATAGGAAAAATGATTAACTATGCAAATAGATAAGAATTATATGATTTGTAAGTAGACCTTGACAAAAAGGGACATTTACTTATATATTGCATAATTCTTATATATATATATAACACCTAAACTTTTATATTTACATACATAACATCAGAAAGATCACAATTATAAATTTTTTAAAAGAGAAATGCATTATTTCATGTATATATTTTTAATATCAATATGTTATGAATAAAAGAAATAATTTTTTGGTGTGATACAATGTCAAGAAATTTTCACCAGCCGGGACGACTCTCGAAGCATTGCACTAACATTGACCAATCCAAGCCAAATCATGCATAGAATGAACTGTTAAACCATTTTTAAAACCTTCTGGTGTCCAATTGGAACCTCAAGCTTATGGCTAAATCGAGCATCTTGACAAGACAAATTCAATAAGGCCAAGATCACTCAACTTTTCACAGAACGTCGTCTAGTCAAGGGAACCTCTCTAGGGCATCTGATGGAGTGGTTAAAATATTTTATTTGTTGGGAGGCCTCTTCCAAACTCTATAATTAGAGTCCTATCTCCTCAAGAGAGAAGGGGGACCTAAACCTTAACCTAAAGAAGGACCGGGAGAAGAAGAATCTGAATTACGACGGTTGCGATGAAATCTCGACATACATTGTGAATTAAGAAAAGCATCAAACGATTCGACAACGCAATCTGAAGATGGTGTAATGGAATGACCTCGAAAACAGTGCAACAACGCATCCCAAAGATGATGTAACGACGCCACTCCAAAAATAATACAACAACGCGCCCCAAAGACTGTTTAACAATACCCCGAAGACATTGCAATAAACCCAAATGACGGTGCGACAACGCATCCAAAATATAGTGTAACGATGCCACCTCAAAGACAGTGAAATAATGCATCTCAAAGATGGTGCGGCAACGTACCCTAAAAACTATGTAACACCCAAAGATGGTGTAGGAATACACCTTGAAGGTGATGTAAAGTTGTCACCCCGAAGATGGTTCAACAATACACCCCGAAGATTGTATAACAACACACCACAAGGATGATACACTGAAGCACCCCGAAGGCATTTTAACAACGAATCCTGAAGACAGTGTAAAATACCACCCAAAGATAAGATAGTGCAGGAATGCACCTCGAAGACGGTACATCGACACATCCCGAAGATGAGTGTAACAATGCACACAGAGTAGTGTAACTTCCAGTGATGACCCAGTTTACCAACTATGACCTATGTGGCTCACAACTCACATAGCTCCTAACTTTGACTTACGTGGCTTACAAACTTTATTATAGCTCCCGACTCCGCCCCCAATGGCCTACACATGTGATCACAACTCACTACTACGACCTATGTTGCTCAATGCTCATGCAACTCCCAACTCTGGTCCTTGGAGCCTAAGAATGTCATCACAACTCACTACAATAGCTTCTGTGATCATCTACGACCTATGTGGCTCATAGCTCATACAACTCCCGACTCTAGTGTCTGCGGTTCATGGATGTCATCTCGACACACCACTACATTCTATGTGATCAAGTACGACCTATGTGGATTATAGCTAGTGGAGCTTTTGACTCTGATACAATTTACCACTATGATTTACGTAACCAATTACAACCTACATGGCTCGCGACTCCCATAATTCCCTACCACGACCTTTATGACCAACTGATGCTTCTGAAGCAATCATATATGGCCTACATATTCAATTACTTCCATGACATTCAACTATATTCTCTATGACAAGATGACGCTACAACCACCTTCCATAGCATTCATGACGAGCTCCTACTTTCATATTCATCAACTATAGTCTTAGCGGCAAGTTATAGATATTATTATTGAACTACCACTATATATCAACTTTATAACTCTATCTTCCCTAATTCTGGAGAAAAGTGGATCATAATAGATTATTTCAATTAGGGCATGCCACATGAATTTTTCCCCTTTTTAGAGTTTTCAACGTAAAAATTGAGGTGTCTCCTCCTAGTTAATTCTCTTTTTATTCGTGTGTGTGCTAGATCTTCGTTCAGCGCTAAGACAATAATTTATACTAGACCGTTGCGAACCTTCCAATACAACAATAGTTTTTGTGTCATATGTAGGAAGTGAAGTTCCGCTTTACATCGTCTTCAAGTCCGCAACATCAAGTCTCTGCTTTGTTTCCCAATGATATGCATAATCCAACTAACAAATGAATCTCTTTTGCACCTTTAAAGCATTCTTTGGTATGAAAGGCAGCATTCATTGTTGTCTTAAAAGATCATTCATGTCAACATTCCAGGCACGAATGAAATGCGGTAGTCTTCTCGCATCTCATTCTGACATCAAGTCTGAAAACTACTTGCCGTATGGGTGGCAACCTTCACTATAGTCTTGAAAGGTGATTCACATTAACGTCTCGTGCACAACTGTGGTAGGGTAGTCATCCTACGCCTCATTCAATCATCAATTATTTGAAAAAAGCTACTAGACTGAGAGGCACCTTCATGGCAAAGAGCGCTTCCTCATAAGCTGTCGGCACTATTTTTGGTGTGGAGTTTGCCCGTAAGAAGTTGTCGGTCATCGGAATTGAAATCCCGTTGCCCGCTTCGGAAGGACGTTTTAAAAATTTAGTTTTGAAAAAGATGAAGTCAAACTGACCCCATAATTTTCATAGTTTAAATGAAAGAGCGCTTTACCTCAAACCCTGTATCTATCCCAAAGGATGAACACAAGAATTGAGGGTGAGGCTCGATCAAATAAACTAAAGAAAGTTATGACATCCGTTTGGTCTGTGAAACCAATATATTGGCCGACAAATTCCCCTATTTAATATAAGAAATTAAATAGGGTTTATATTATGCTGGGTTCGGGAAAAGCTTCCTATAGGGGCAAACCCCTATAGTTAATTACATCTTAGATAAC